CCATAAAATCACATATCTGCACAGGGAAATCAATGGCATGGATGTTGTTTCTAAAATGGGCCAGAAATAGTGGCTCCTTATTTCAAAATGTAATCAAATTCATCAACATTGAGTTATGTTTACGTTCTTTTGTGAGGGAAAATATGATTTTCAGATGGTTTGAAGTAGAATCAGCCACATTGCATTGAAAAACACGTATCTCCAATTGGTACGTCGCAGATCTCCCTCATGTCTTATGATTAATGAGGAGACTGATCGATCCTTCATTCTTTCTGAGAATTTTTGTGAATTTTTTCACTCATTAAAAATTATTTACAAAAATGTATAAGGAAATCCACGTATCATGGTAAATTCTCTCTCAAGAAAATACAACACAGCCACTTATCTTGGTCTTTACTGAGTGAATATGATTATACATATGCTCCGCTCCATGTTCCCAGTGAGGTATTGATCCGATTCGGGAGGAAAAATAAAAGCGAGATCCGATTGCGTCTCTCTTATCTTCGGCTGTGTTGTTTGCGTGGCCCTTGAAGCACCACCACAAACAAGAAAAACGGCAATGAACAAAATATACGATAAAAGACATGAAAGCAATAGGATGGATGTGCGCCGATGACGGCGCAGAGATCCAACTATTCGTACTTGATGGATGTCCGTGTTGCGTTTGCGAAATTGAAGGCGCGATGGCGTGATGCGTGAACTCGTAATGCTCCGCTCAATGAAGCTAGTTATGAGGTGTCGATCAGACTCGGGAGGAAAGTTTAAAAACGCGGCCCGATTACGTCTTTTCTATCCTCGGCTGTGTTGACACTCGATTTTTTTTTCAATTAAGTGTCTAATTCTATTTTTAGGATGTATTTATAGACCTATGTCTAAAGCTCGCTTATATCGCTCCCTTACCTCCCTCAAAGGAGATAGTGGGGACAATTTGACTCTGCTAAGGATTTCTAGGGGTAGTTGTCAAAAAAAAGTCTCCGACACTCGATTTTTATCCTATGTTTTAATTTATGCCTAGTCTTTTCTTAGGCTGTGTCCGTAGAAATAACACAATTTTAACAAGACTCACTGGCATAAATAATAATTTATTTGGACTCGTGTGTATTTGTAGAGCTATATCTAAAGCTCGCAGGTACTGGGCCCATACAACCCGCAGGGCACGTGTTTTTAGCAAACCTCGGGTCATATCGACCCGACTCATGCATCTATAGGTCAATGGATTTCGAGGTCAAAGAGAAATGTGAGGTTCATTAAGTTTTTATTTTTCTCGTCCTCGCTCTTCCATCAAGATTATCGAGGATAAAAATGAAACACACTGAAGCGTCGTACGTTCCTGCATTGACTTTTGGAATTGATGGTGGTGAATGTGTTATCATGCTTTTACTTCAATTGAATTATACGTGCATGGAGTCGGAGATGTACATTTTGTGAATCTTCTGCTGTAGCAATTTCCGTGAAACATGTTGTCATTGTATTCTCAAGATCTCATGAGCGGCGGGTCGAATAATTCATTTGACCTCGTTTCCGTCAGAGCACTCGGATGTCAGTTCGCGGAATCTTACTGAGCATCCATTTCTTTAGCACAAAAGTTTAGTTGGTTCTGTTCATTTTTCATTGGTGTTTACCATTGAGGCCTCTCTTATTCCGTTTGTTCCTTGTTGTCGTACCTTTAGCGCCTTGGTTCATTAAGGTTTATAATGTTTACTACCGTTGAAAGGGGTAAAAAGTCATAGGCGGACGAAGAGGGAGCAGGGATTGGTCCCCTCTTGAATTGAAAATGGTATAATCTGCCCTCATCTTCGAAAATTTTACAGTTGTATTGAATGCAACAGTTCGGAGGTATTTTGTGCCAAGAGTAAAAAAACGCGAAGTTTTTCTGCATACATCGATGAAAAATATACATCTTTCAACCTCAAAATGCGTTCAAATAGACTTAAAATTTCCAAAATTTGCCGGGAGATGCCGCGGGACCCCCCTCTGATCTGAAGGCTATGAAATACCCTCCAGATCCTTCCTAGAAAAATGACCCACGTAGTACGTGCGCCTATGGAAAAAGTGCGCTACATAATTTAGGACGACCCGCGACCCCAAAAAAATATGAGATCCGATGAAAAAAATGGCTTCCATACAACTGGCCTACGTACTTACGCCTATGGAAAAAGTGCGCTACGTAATTTCGCGACGGCCCCTAAAAAATACGAGATCCAATCAGAAAAATGGCTTCCTTACACCGTAATTCTGGGTTTGAAGGGAGTCTACCGGAATCCAGCAACAAACCGGCATCAATGGAGGTTAAGAGTTGGAAATTCAGATTGTAAGCAGCACTTGAGCGAATCAGATAGGAACATCCGGGCGGAACGCAGGGGGGTAACGGATCCAGGAAAAATGGTATGCAAAACGCCGCTCGTAGCACGTTAGAAGAGGGGATTAGGTCGGGCAGGAGGGAAACGGGACAAGCAGCGTGCGAGCTCCGAGGAATACCGTCGGAGATTTATTCCGCTGATCCGGTCAGCGGAGACGCGCGTGTGGAAAGTGCTTGAAAAATTACAGCGTGCTTTCCGATGAATCGATCTTGCTACCGTTTAAACCCATGAAAGAAGATCGATCATAGGAACACTCGTAACTAACACCTTTAAAATCGATTCCTAACCATAGCTTCTAATGGGGAGTATCGATAGTTGATTATTCGCACTTCACCACTGAAAAATTAAGTGGACAGAGATCAGATTATGTGGAATGTGGATTTGTTTTCCATCGGTCGTTCCGACATGGAGGTGCTAGCACTCTCAATCGCAGCTCAGCAGCGGGTCGATTTTTGAATCGTTATCGAGTGACCTCGATCGATGTATAGCATTGTGAAGATAGGGAGCTATCGATCAAACTCATTCGATAACGAATCGTTACGGTTCAACAATCGACCTGCAAGTTTGCATCGAGAGAGGAGAGCCGCATCGCACCGAAGTCATACCTCACGCGTTGTCTAATGTGATTTCTCGATTGCTGCTTATTGCTGTTACATTTCCGATTATTATCAGATCGGAACCATCCACCAATTCTCTCGTGTAACGCCTTCTTGTGTGTCTCTTGTGTAGGGGGTACGCCCTTGAACCGCCTCACGGTTTGACCCCCCGTTGGGTATTCCCCCAACATGCAATTTTTGTCCAGAATTGCAATGATTTTTGGGCACAGTCAGTAGAAAACTTTGTGACACGTTCAATTGAAAAAACTTAACAGTTTTCCAGCTGAAATTCAATTTTGGAGTGGAAATTTTCCAGCTGAGACGTTTTTTTGTGCAGAATAGACACTGGAAAAAAACGCATTGGATCTAGAGTCCAGACTCTTAAAAACATTGACAAGAAAAAATACTCTTGATTCAATCGGATTTTTGCTTGAATCAAAACGAAATCCGCTTAAATTAAGAGGCTTGGTTCTTGATTTAAGCTAGATTCTGATTGAATCAAGAGTATTTTTTCTTGTCGATGTTTTTAAGAGTCTGAACTTTAGATCCAATGTTTTTTTTCCAGTGGACGAATTGGTGCCTTCACTGATTTTTTATCGACGAAATCATTTCAAAAATAGAAACCACCTGCATGTCAGTGCTCGTGGTTTTCTTAAGAGCAAATAATAAGCACACCCTTTATTTGCTTAAAAAAAAAAGAGGAGGAAGAAGAAAAACTAGGTTCCTATCTGTTACCCTCAATCCAGTCAGTTCCCATTTGGATCCCTAAGCTTCTGCAGAACATGTTTTCCATCAAATTCCTCGTGGGTGCCGATAAGCACTCGGCTCATTAGCGTCCGAAAATAAAACGGCGATAATTCGATGACAAATCAGCGCGTTCCTCGTCACGTCAGCCGTTAGTCAGTTAATTCGAGTCGTGTTTTTGGGAGTGGCCGACAGATGGCGACAGATGCCATGTGCTCGACGTTAACCGAAAACGAAAACGACACCCGTTGGCCGTTCGCGCCCGTTAGCGCCTCGTCCCATCGTGGCCCACTCAACGTCGCGACGTCGTCGTCCAATTAGAAGCAGCTGTCACCGAGCCAATTACTTCTGACTCGGGACAAATTCTTCCCATCGCCGATTACTTCACTCTGCCTTCTTCTGTTATTCTATTTTTGGTATTGCCAAATATTTTTTCATGCTACGGCGTTTAAATTACAGTCTCTCCTCTCTGCGAGGAAAGAGTGTGTTTGGACGTGGTTTACGAACCAGACGAGTGTCATTTGGTTAGGAGCCATTGCCTCGTGTGAAAAAAAAGAGAAAAAAACAGAATAATTAGGAGAAAACCGATGACGGGGGAAATTATCCACTTGGGACGTAATCTTCTAAGAACGAACTCTCGAAAACATAGTTTCTATTTGAATTGTAAGTGTGCCTAGATGACAAATTTAGATTTCTTTGAATTTAAAAAAAAATAATAAAAGGGAGAAAACTAATTTCGGTAGAAGTAATCCACTCGGGACAAAATCTTCTAAGACCGAACTCTGGAACATATTGTTTTTATGAATTGTAAGTGTGCCTAGATGGCTTTAGCTTTTCTTGAATTGTAAAAAAAAAGAAAAACTTAATTTAATTTGAAATAAAGAAACTTGTGCTGCTGCTAAGTATTTCTTCAAAGACTTTGATTCAAATGCAAACAGCCGGAGAGAGAGAGAAAGAAAGTAAACCTGTTTAACCTAATTCAACCCGTTTGTCAGGAGCTTTACTTTTACCAAATTTCCGATTCATAAAGAAAGCAAGAGCAAATCACCTTCGAAGTGATACCTCTTCTTTAGAGGTATATTCATGTCCTATTCAAGAATACAAGTGTCTCAATTTGTATGTACAGAATTCCTTATTTTATGTGTTTCTCCATTGATGATCACATTACTATCGGAGGGCAATTTTTAAACCAACTTGTTCGACAATTTTTTTTTCGTGTTTAAAAATTGACATGAGACAGCGCCGATTCTCAAACATGCAATTCCATTCTAACAAAAAACGTTTTGTGTGATTGTTTCAGGAGCCTGTCCGTTCAAAAGCCACTGGTCTGGTCGATGGTTTCAGTCGCAAGTGCCGCATCATATCGTCATCAACGGGTCCATGTTCGACACGAAAGGTCTTTGCATAGAGTCGAAAGGAGACAAGTTCATCATCGAAGATAGGTAAGTTGAATCCCTTGTATTCCAGGTGCCGTTCTTTGAGGTGATGGATTGTTTAATTACGGGCGAAGTAAAGTAAGAAGTGAGCTGAGCATGTACTTCACTGGAAAAGGTATGTTCCATTTTACCGTATCTGACATTGATTATAATAGTAGGAAGGTCATCAACAGCATACTGCACGGTTGAATTCACCATACACTAGGTATATATGACGAGATATTCGCTTATTTGCACTCGAAAAATTACTGTGTCAAAAATTAAATGGACTCATGGTTTCATCTATTATATTCGTTCGGCAGGACTTTTCTTACATGCCAAGACGGCCTACCTAGTGGCCTAGTGGATTACCTAGTGGCTGTTCCTAAATTACATAAAGATCTAGGGCGGGGGGGCGAGGGGGCAAGGAGAGCATTACGCCATTTTATTTTTTTTACTCGTTAAAGGATGGGGACATACGTTACAAAAACGTTACAAGGAGGGGGAGGGATCAAAAAGTGCGTTACGTTATTTACGGACGGCTCCCTACAGTTTCGGTCGATTTAACCAAATGGACCACTACACAAGGTACGAATTTAAGCAATCTGATACATGTTTCTTAACCAGAATTTCACGTAGAACACGATTAGTGCAATGGATATTACTGAAACTAACTCCTAACGAAGATATCAACGTTTTTATTTCACATTGGGTACGAGGAATTTGAACTGGCCGCTCACAAGAAACTCAAAGCCTTACGTGAGTCAAATCGCGCACTACAACGGTTTCAGCAAGCTTCTCAATTGAGCAATATTCATTTCCCACCATGGGTTGTTCAAATTATGAGCAATTTGCTATAGCTGAGCCAAAGCGTCAAAAATTGAGGTTGCCACATTTTTAAATCGCAGATACTGTCATGATAACGTTTAGCGCGCGATGTGAATCACGTAGAGTATTGAGTTTTCATGAGCGGGTGGTTTGAATTTACGCATCAGGAATCATTAAATATCTTCGTAAGGAGTTGATTTCGGTATTTTTCGTTGTGCGCATCGTGTTTTACGTGAAATTTTGGTCAAGAAACATGAATCAGAATGCTGAAATTCGTACCTTGTCTAGTGCTCCATTCTGTCGATCAACTAATTCCTTTTAGTTGATCTGACCGAAGAAAAAATAACCCGAAGTAACCATAAACCACGGAAACTTTCAACCGTGCATGACGTGGGAGCTCTAAAACTTTCCCGCTCCGGGCATAATTTCAGATTCCACCTTGCGAATCTCCGCAGAACCTGATTCATAGACAACGATTAGTCCATATCGACGAGAGCGAAATCTCAGCTCCTTGAAACGTCTCCCTCCTTTGATCGAATCCTAGAAGGCACAAAGTTTGTCTAGGATACGCGGATTGAATAAAGTTGCAGTGTTTGACCCATTTTACCTCCCCCTTCCCCCTCCCCCTAACCCCCTCCCGGCGGTAACGGAGGAGGAGGAGCAAACAAGTTTTTCATCCGCGACAACCTGAAGTATTTCCTATCGATTCGGGGGATTAGTAATATTCAATCTGCGAACGCTCGGATCGGTGGAACNGGGGGGGGGGGCGCGTCACGCGATTTTTCCACCGGTTCGCGGGCATATTTCAATTTGAGCCGCTGCAAGTTGTCCCGACTCGGGCTCCGGCCCCGTGTCGTCTGAGATGCGCGCGCGGGGCTGGCAGATGTTCCGTTCCGGCGCTCAAAATGGCCTCCAAGTTAATTCAAGTTTAATTTTTTACCGTCGCCCTGTGCCGCTTTTATTCGATTCGGATTCGTTCCGACGCCGATACCGGGCGCCATTTGGGGAACGCGCGGATCGCGACCGGAAACCGAGGTTGCCACGTCGCGCGAATGACCGGAATCCGGAAAAATCGGGGGAGGAAAAACTTGATTTCGGTCCCTTTGATTGAAAGTATTATCTATTCGCTCTCTTGTGCTGCTACTCTGTTGAGTTGATTTTCAAATGATGCAACTATTCGGCCTCCGAGGCCACGCTAGGAAGTATGTTTTCCCAATGAAGGCGTTTTTCTTGCAGCGAAAATCTTTCATTAAAGTATTATTTCAAGGGGGCTATTTCTGTGCTGCTTCTCCGTTGAATGGATTTTCCAATGATGTAACTATTCGGCCTCTGAGATCATGCTTGGCAGTATCTTTTCACAAAATTGCGAATCAATTTTTGCCGAATTGCAGTTTTGATGGGAAAAATCAACCTTGTAACCATATATCCAAGTTAGTAACTCTGTGAGAATTTAGTTTCCATTTTAAGAATTAACGGAAATTTTTCGCAAATTTTTCGCACTTTGTTCGGAGTTTTCTAAACATTTTTATTTTCCGTTGTCTGCTTAGATTTTTTGTAGAACCGCCTACGTTCCAGATTTCACCTCTTTTTCTTCTTCAGGTAAATACATACCTCTTTCGAGTCTGATTTTTTCTTCTTTATTTCATACGCAGTTGACAACCGCGGAGCTTGCCCACTCAGCTTGCAAGAATTGTGGGGGTGTTGAAGGGGGATAGGTGGGGGGTTATAACGGGGTACCTTTACGACACGGACGCGCAAGGTGCATTTTCGAAACGTCTAATTTGAATCCATAAACCGTTGGAATCGTTCGATGCACATTCGGTCGTCATGCCATGTTGCGCCGTGACATTAGTCCACCAGGAGTAGTTAGATCGCGAGATTAGCCGGGTTTTTTTTCCTTCAGATTTTTCCCCCTCTAGCCGTTCCTGTTTAAAGGCTATTCCAATGCCGACCACTAAAGGAGTAAGCTTTTTCCTATTATTAGTATTAATCATTAACTCACTCCGATGGAAATTCACTCGTGAGCAGAAAAACATCGCACAACTCAGCAGTGAAAATCGCTTGCCTCGCGATTACTTCGTTCCCTCGATTTATACTGCATGTTTGAAAGGAAAGCTAATCCTTCATGGTTCTTTTCTGATGGTGAATGTAGTCCATACCTTTCAACAAGATCCATAGTCGGGACGTATCTAGACAAATTCTCTAGAGAAAGAAGAGGGACTATTTACTTATACCCCCATTTTTCCTCCCAGAGGGAGCTGGTGATTAAATTTCCATCCTTTTTTGTAATCTTTGTCTTGTGTGCTTTGATTTTGCTGCACTGTGCCGAGTCTGTTTACCTGGTAATCAGTCTCGGTCTCGCAATTACAGCGGAGCGACGGCTCGTTTTTGTTTTTAATTTATTTTTCCGGTTGATAATGAAATTGTTATTATTTTGAAACGTCCCGGGTTTTGTTTATTCCTTTTCTTTATTTGCAGCCTTTTCCCCAAATTAAGTTGTTCTTTTATTACGTGTATTTTGGCTGATTAAGTTGTTTCTCATTTTTACTTATACCTTTTGTAGAAGTCAAGTGGTATTGAGTAGATGAATAAGCCACATCTATCCGAGGTGGAGGACTTAAGTTTTTTTTTTTTTTGAGAGAGTGAGAGGGGGGGAGGTAGCCCTTGAGACCGCTGTACCTACGCTCCTGACAATATTATGATGATAATGTAGGTCAGGAAATGTGTATTTCCATTGCAACGTATCAAAGTCTCCCATGTTGTCATATGATTACGCATCCTTTTTTGTGAGGATTCCATCCAAAATATCTTCTTGAAATTTTCTGTGAAAATATTTCAATGAATGAAAAAAATCACAACCAGAAAAATTTCAGTAACAACTGTTCGTTTTTCCCCCTTCAAAAAATACAATTTATTGCGTAAATTTGTGCCATCTCAAGTAGAGTCGCGCCTTTTTCAAATTTCAGCCATCTCATGCCTTTATGCGTGCTAAGAATGTTAACCTTGCATTGCTACGTAGCACTAAAATCAAATTTGCGATCAAACCGTAAATCTTGAAAGAGGTTTCTCTCATCATGAGGTTTCTCTCATCATGAGGTTTCTTCAAACCTCGTTTCAATAAAAACTCGAGGCTTCCAAAAATATTATCAACCTCAAGGCATGCATCTTTTTCCTTTAAAAGGCCATTCGATATGTCGTCGTCTCCCGGACGATGTCACGGACTCCCATCCTAACGTTGAAAACTGACTGAAACGATTCAATTTTTACGAGAAAATCACTGTTAAATTTATTTCCAAAATTTGTCTGATTTTGGCAAAAGATCAGGGGAATTTTCAACTAGAGACTTCCAAGATTCTCCCGGTAAAACTGGACTTTCCGAGAGAAAATTTGACCAAAAGTTGGTAAAGTAGCCAACGTGTGTTAAAAATCAGCATGAAGCTGAAAATCTCAATACAGAGGGAGAAAGCTCATATGAGCACAATTTTCCCTCAAAGAGATACGCTGTTTGGTCCAAAACTAGTTACGACCATTGAGGAAGGCAACTGCAGACGCGTGTCAGGTCTGATTGGACAAATTAACCGGGTAAATTGCACGGGTGAAATTTGACAACATTAAAATGTAGATAAGTCCTTTCTTGAGGGAAACGAAGATGTGTGCCATGGTGTAATTTGAGCGGAAAAAAGTTAGTGAAGATGGAAACTTGGATTTTAAAATGTGCGGCTCATCCAATGTGACAACGACGAGGAGATAGTTGCGCCGGGAGGGATCAATATTATGTAACCCGCATTACTTTTCATGGGATCCGATCCGCAGTTTGCGGCAAGGACAAACGGACGGGCTCGCCATTCCACCATCCCAGTGATTCGATTCGCGTCCACCGCGCCGAGCCCCCGCACAGTGGATCCAGTCAATCTGAGAGGTCGCACGTGAAATTTTCAACCAAAACTGTACATTTTGATGTTTAATTCGTCACATTTTAAAGTTTAAGGGCTGCTCTGAAATGAGCATTTCTATAGAAAACCATTGGAACCACTTTTAAAACCTCAGAGTCTTGTATGAACAGCAGTTATGAGCTTTTAAAGTTTTCAAATGTTGTCCGACTTCCCCCATGGCCTCGACCCATTGTGCGCCGAGTGTCGACCAGTAGGTGCGATAGATTTTTTTACCCTGGAGACTCCCTTTAATTCTCGAGTGCGATG